GATGATGGTGGTGGAAATGTTTTTATTTTTTTTTCTTATTATTTCAATTTGGTACAATATCGTACATAATTAATAAGATTATTCATTGTTATGTATGATGACATATATGCTAATAAAATAAGGTTATTATACAATTTTATAATGCCCTAATTTGTCAAATAGGATATCATAGTGTGGATATGCAAATAGGGTTGGTGTGCGTAGTATATTTAAATGTAATATTTATGAACATTTAACTTAAGACATAATAGTATTAAAAAATTTTATGTTGCCAGTAAAAATAAGAAAAAAATTTATGCTCCTTTTATTTACTGCAAGGTATTCAATGTCATGAAAAACAAGTTTAGTAATTGATGGTGAATCGATTTTATATGAATTGATCAATCATGGTCTCCTTAATTTTGGCTAGTTTTCCAGTAATTATGGTATGATTTAGTTTACATACGTCTATTTTAAATGACTTGATACAGATATAGAATTCAGTAGAATTTTACAAAAAATACAATTTTAAAGTAAAACTTAAGAGTCGCGATGATAGAAGTCAAAGTAATGACATCAGAAGTTGAAATTTCGAATGCAAATAGAATGTCAACATTGTGTTATCCAAGATTAATGGTACAACACTAGTGAGACAGAGAGTAGACACTATGATGCCTAGAGCTAGTAAACAAAAAGTCATTTATGTTGCCTACAAAAAAGAAAAAAAAAAGCTTATGCTTCATGTATTTACGACATGATATGGATTCAATATCATAAAAAATAAGTTAAGAAATTACTAATGAATTGATTTTATACCGACTAATCAAGCCATGATCTCCTTAATATTTAGCTAGTTTTCTGGTAATTATGGTCTATTTTAATTTACACATGTTTAATTTAAATGCTTGGATGTAAACAAAAAATTTAGTAAAATCTCACAAGAAAGACAATTTATCAATGCAACATATCAAAGTTGCGATGACAGGAGCTAAAGCAACGACACCAAAAGTTAAGATTTAGAATACAAATAGGATGTCAACGTCGCCATCCATGATTGGTGCCATAGTAGTAGTGAGACAAAGATGGACACTACGATGC